GCATGTTTACTCCTGACTACCTTTTTGCTTTCAAAGTCCCAAAGCCGGTAGCCCATCTTGTCTGATCCATAGCCAATAAAGGTGTACTTCTTGGCCTTTGCATCTAGCTTATCACCATCTTGATTCAAATCATAAGCACTGCACCCGAAAACCTTTAGGTGCTTATAATCAACAGCTTTACCCTTCCATTCTTCTTGAGGTACTTTGAAACCCAACGGAACTGAAAGCAATCGGTTGATAAGGTAAGTAGCAGTGTTAACTGCGTCTGCCCAAAACATCTTCGGGAGCCCTGCATTTATTCTCATACTTCTGGCTCTCTCGTTTAGAGTTCTATTCATCCTTTCTGTGACTCCATTTTGTTGAGGAGTGCGTGGAACAGTCTTTATCATCCGAATGCCTCGTTCAGCACAATAGTCCATGAACTATGTGCTAATGTACTCCCCTCCGTTGTCCGATTTCAAACATTTCACCTTCAAACCAGTTTCAAGTTCAACGGCAGTTTTCCATTTCTTAAAAACATCAAATACTTCGTATTTACTTTTAAGAAAATAAACCCATACCTTGCGTGTGGCATCGTCTATGAAGGTCACATAGAATCTTGAGCCTCCCAAGGATTCAACTCGCGTTGGACCAAAAACATCTGAATAAATAAGCTCTAACTTCTGAGCTTTAGGTACTCTCCCCATCTTCACAAAAGATACTCTCTTTTTCTTTCCATAAACACACGGTTCACAGAATTTAGATTCAACTTTCTTTAGGTCTGGAAGCTTTCCTTTGGCGACAAGCATTTTCATCCCCTTTTCACTCATATGGCCGAGTCATTGATGCCACAACTTGGAGAGACTCAGCCCATTAGTTGCTGCGTTTGCATCTCCTGTAGTTGTCTGAGCCATGTACAAAGTACCCTGTTTCTTTCCCTTAGCAATTACCATACTTCCCTTGACAACCTTCCACTGTCCAGCCCCAAAGTGAACATTATACCCCTGGTCGTCCAATTGCCCAATGGAAATCAACATCTTTCTCAATTTGGGAATTACCCTGACATCTTTCAATGTCCAAATTGTTCCCAAGTTGATATCCAGTGTTTGATTATTAGCAAGACTTGTCTGAGATTCTTCATCTTTCTCGAACTAGAGATAGCATGAAACGACGCACCTGAGTCCATAATCCAGGACTCGACTGTGTCCTCTACACAGCAGATTAATACATCGTCAGAATCTGAGGTTGTGGCAGCATTCACCTCTTTCTTGTCGCTAGGTGGTTTGGTGCACTGATTTTTGAAGTGTCCGTACTCATCACAGTTCCAACACTTGATGTCACTTCTTGTCTTTGAACTCCCTCTCCTGCCTTTGGACTTAGATCTTCCCCTGTAACTGTTTCTCCTCTCTTTCTTTCTACCTCTTCCCTCAGTGCTNAATTCAGAGATGTTCCTTACAAGGGCCAAATGGCCGAAATATATAAGGAGGGGAGAGGAGGGAAAACACACAATATAATGAATGCAAATACAAGGAACCTTCCTACATCCCTTTATCATTCACTAGCTTCCAATCTTGAGTTGATAAGGGCTGATTTTGTTTGACTTTGTCTTGGCTTTGGAGCTGGCTTTGTCTGTCCTGCTGTGGAGGCAAAAATCACAAAGAATGAATGAAATCCTTTGATGATTGTGGTGGATATTCTGGCTAAAAAGAGGGGACAAACAAAGATGGGTGATGGATGGTGTATTGGCCTTATATGGTAAGAAATGACAAGGAAAGATCATGGGTGCAAGGATGTGAAATAAGTCAACAAAAGGACAAATTTTCACTATTCAACTTTATGACTTCTATCCTGATTGTGAGAAAGGTGATTTCAGTTTGTTAGTAGTTGAAAAAGGGGCCTGATTTATGGATAAAATGGAAGGGATTTTAGTCCCTAGTTCTAGGAAAAAAAAAGAGGAAAGACATTATTTGGGTAAAAGGACTTTAAAAGAAACAAACAAAGGTTTTGGCTTTTATTTTCTCTCATTTTCGGCCAAGGGCTTTGAAATGAGTGGGGGAGGACTTTATTTGAATAAAAGAAAAGAAAGAAGACTTTTGGATATGTTGGGACAGTTGGGATTTTGGTGGAGTCATCCAGGGGTACATCATACTCCCCTTCTTCGAAGAAAGTTTGTCCTCAAACTTTCGCACCACCGTGACTGTTTGGGGTTTCATAAAAGAATTCCCGGATCAAATGGGAAACTTGAGAAATCACCAATGATGAGGTTCTTTCCGGAATAAGTTGGCACCTCTTTTTGTACTGTCCGGAAAAATGTAATCATTGTTCGTAGAACCTCCTTCACATAATCTTCAATGATTGGATGAGATTCTTTGTCACTAATTAGATGATAATATTCTGAGGAAACAACTTCCTTAAAACATATATCACCTAGTGTGGCATCCTCCACGACATCCTGTTCAAAGAAGCTTTCACAACTTAAGAGAGAATCAATAAGGATTGAATCTTCTTGCGCCTTAGAAGTTGGTTCTTCTACGAAGACATCATCTTCATCTTTGACATGGTTATCAAAGACATCTTCATCATGTTGATTCTCATATGCTGCTACGATCCTTACATGCTCTTCATAAGGAATGGCTTCTTTATTTGTGCACCTCCAATAGTGATGGCCATAGCCACAGCACATATAGCACCGTTTAATAGGTCCTTGAAGTATCACCTCATTTGCATAAATAATCTCAAGATTTTTGAAGTATCTTTGGATATCCATATCTCGTTGGAGACAAAAGAAGCAAGCTAGACAGCATTTGGGCAGGACTGCATTGTCAACTTTGGAAGGGCGTATCTCACGAACCGTAACTCGGAATTGAGTGAAATCAGCGGCCAGATGAAGATAAAAGGATAAACTTCCAAACTGGAAAGTTTCACTTTGAAATCAGTTTTGCACCTTCCTCCGTGATCACTGCTTTGGGGCTGAAATTTTCAGGAGAAATTTTCAGCAGCCTTGTTTTGTGCAACGTGGGTGAAGCTGGTCCTCCGGTAATCGTCGAGACTTGAGAAAGTCGTCGAAGTTGAGCTTTGATACCAGATGTTAGGCCCGAACCGGGGGTCTAATCAAGTTGTTATTTTTGGAGATGGAACTGTGGAGAATAATGAAGGGGAAATGGGCTGGATGAAAATATGGGAATGTGAAGGAGTTCTTTTTGGGTTTTGATATTATGAAGAAGAGTGGAAAATCAGGGTTGGATAAACCAAGTTGGTGTTTAAGAGATATTACACACTCTTAGCCTAACTTGGGGTTTGAATCTAGAATTCAAATAAGATATTACACACTTATTTAAATATCTAGAACCTAAAACTCACACTTAAGATAACCACTCTTAAGATATAGAATTAGGAATTTGGCTAAAATAGCATCACACTATTTTATAAATACTCAAAGAGTAAAAGGAGTTTTTT